GCGCACCGGCAGGGCGGGCAACAAGGTCCCACACCTTTACTCCTCAGACTGCTCTGTGCGCCAGTAAAGCTGCTGATGGGAGAAAAGACAAACTCTGAGGAGTCTGTCCATGTCGACGAATGGTTTACCAGATTAAATTAATGGCTAGTTACCTTCACTCAATAACATTTACTTCAGTAACTGTTTGAAAAATGTATTTTAGGAGTATTTTTACTACACTATACCCGAGTAATTTTATGATAAAGTATTTTATGCTGAGTAATTTCTTGGATGGCTACTTTTAATTTTTCTTGACTAAAAATATGTTGCATGGCAGAGCTGCGTCTGCATGGCGGAGCTGCGTCTGCATGGCGGAGCTGCGTCTGCATGGCAGAGCTGCGTCTGCATGGCGGAGCTGCGTCTGCATGTTCTGAAAAATATTAACTTTGTTATGGAAAGACGGTCAGTCAGTATATAAAACTAAGAAAAATGGCCTCTTATTAGTAAATTATGAGCCGATTGAGTTCAGCAAGCAGCAGATTAACTCATTATTTAGTATCTGGACGTCCAGCTAAATGCTAACTGACTTAGCATCAGTGTGTGGTTGGATAAACTGTAGGGGAGCTTTGTAGGTGTGATCAGAGGAAGAGTCATCTTCTTTTAATGGATTTTTCCTTCTCTTAATTGCTTCTTCTGTTTGCATTTCTAGAATTAACGACTATCTATTTCTGGTAGGGTTACGCTTACACCTTCATCACGGAGGACCAGGCTCGCTACGCCGGCGACATCCTGAAGGCCTTGGAGCTGTCCGGCTCCGCCGTTCCTCCAGAACTGGAGCAGCTGTGGGCTTCCTTCAAGGACCAGCAGAAGGCGGTGAGATAACTCTACATTTAAAAAATAATAAATTGTGTTTATATGGACTCTGAGCTCTAAATATTCCTGATCATGCAGGAGGGTAAGGTGATTAAGAGCAGCAGTGGCTTCTCAGGGAAAGGCTTTAAGTTCGATGAGACGGAGCACGCTCTGGCCAACGAGAGGAAGAAGCTGCAGAAAGCTGCACTGGGGCTGCAGGACTCAGACGATGAGGACGGCGCCTTGGATGTGAGGAACCATCTGAAAGTCAGGAAACCCTTCCAAGGACCTGTAACGTTTCCACCTCTCCTTCCCTCAGATCGAGGAGCAAATAGAAAGCATGTTCAACTCTAAGAAGCGGGTGAAGGATCTGTCTGCTCCTGGTGCGGCCGCCGGTCCCGCCGGCACCGTCACGGCTGCAGCGGCGGCCCCCGGGGGCCCGGCGGGCCTCATGGCCGGGTCCGCTGGAAACAACCAGAAGCTGGAGATGGCCAAAAGGCTGGCGTTGAAGATCAACGCGCAGAAGAACCTGGGCGCCGAGGCTCAGGTGAGTCGGGCCGACGGAGGCGATTCGGTCTGAGATCCAGGCAGGAAGAAACATTTTGAGGTTTTTTTTTTTGCTTCGGTCTCATTTTGATGTTTCAAGGTTTGAAAGTGGTCAAGATTCAAACTGCACAGTTTAGTAATAAAGTTCAGCCTGATCCTTGATGAAAAGCCTAAATTTGGAAATCGATAGTTTCAGCAGAAAGCAGATATTTTCGCACACTTTGTAAAAAGTCACATTTTGTTTCTCGCTGTATGAAGTTAAGTTAGAATGAACATTTTTTGTTTTAGGACAGTTAGAATTACAAAAATTATTTCTATTTGACAAAAGCCAGAAACATTTTTAGAGATTTTTTGTAATTTTCTTTGTATTTTGTGTTAAGTATTTAAGTAAAAAGTGCAATTTAGTAGAAGTACTGCGGAAAGTAATTTATTTTCAAAAGTTACTCCACTAAATGTAGCTGAGTAAATGTAACTAGTTACTTCCTAACTGGTTCTGTTTTCTGTACCTGCAGGACGTGATGCAGCAGGCCACCAACGCCATCCTGCGCGGTGACCCCATCATGACCCCGTCGGTGTCGGCCAAGACGATCGCGGAGCAGCTGGCGGAAAAGATCAACGCCAAGCTGAACTACACGCCGGTGGAGAAGCTGGAGGAGGAGCGGCAGGCGGCTGAACAGGCAGAAACCGTCAAGAGATACGAAGAGGAGCTGGAGATCAACGACTTCCCTCAGGTCTGTAACCTCACTTCACCTCCTTCTAAAAATTAAGATGATTATTTTACTTGTCTTGGGGTTATTCCTTCTCTCTGAATCGAATATGAAAAACACTTAGAACAGATTAGAGTATGAATTATTTGTATAAAGAACCAACAAAAACATTGGCTTTGTTCTTCTGACCGTCTCATTGTGTGGTTTTACAGAAAGTGTTGTTAGGCCTGTGGTAATGTTTTGTTGTGCAGACGGCCCGCTGGAAGGTCACGTCTAAAGAGGCTCTGCAGAGGATCGGTGAATACTCTGAGGCGGCCATCACCATCAGAGGAACGTATTTCCCTCCAGGCAAAGAGCCGAAGGAGGGAGAACGAAAAATCTATCTGGCTATTGAGAGTGAGAACATTTACTGCTTCCTACTTAGAAACTCGACACGGAATAAATCATCTGGTGATGTGTTGTTTTATCTCTGGATGGTACACACACACACACTCACGCACGCACACACACACACGCACGCACACACACACGCACACACACACACAGAGGCACACGCTTACCAAAATTATTACGTAAAGTTGCTGATCTGCTTTTTATTTCTCTTGTTTACACACCTGTTCAGTTTCTGATTTATAAAAGAGAAAAAATACAAAAAACTGATTGTTTTGATATCAATATCTGTATCGGTCCCAATATTATAAAAAATCTTTCTCAGGTATCGATTTGTGGATGATCCAAAGGGCAGGTCTACTGTCTGATTCTGCACGTTATTTATTCTACATTGTATTTATGACGGCACTTTCATTTGGAAGAAAGATTGTTGCAGCTTATTTTGTTTACAGATTACTTTAGTCAGTTTCTTTATTATCCATTCCCCAGTGGCTGTTATTCTAACTTCACTGACTGAACAAATTAAAGTTGTTTTTCCATGTTTGACCAGATGGTGAAACTATTTAAGTTCTCAAATAAATTTGTGATTCAGTTCATTTATATCCGTTTTTAAGGAAAAAGAAACGGCTGAAGTCAATCAGCGGTTTTTCTGTATCGGATCGGAATCGGCCGATACTAAACCTCAGATATCGGAAGTGAAGCAGTGAATCGGTGCATCCTGAGTTTGTCCTTTGGTGACTCTGTCACTTAAAGTTCACTTTAATTAAAGTCGTCTCTCCGTGTCTGAAATGTTGGGGAAAACCTTGCACAATGTTTGATAACTAAACGCTTTGCACTTTGGAAAACAAATGGCTGCACTTTTTAAAGTGATAAGCTCGTGTGGCTTTAAGGACTTTCTACGTCCTTGATTCTCAGAAAAGCTTTGGTTTTGAGGTTTTTCCTTGTAGTAACGTGTTTCTGTTCTGTTTTAGGTGCGAGTGAACTGGCTGTGCAGAAAGCCAAAACGGAGATTAGCGGCTAATAAAGGAAGAGCTCATCAGATTAGTATGTGTCGTTACAGATTAACTGTTTTTGGTTGAAAGTACATAAGAGACATTTGCTGTTTAAACTCTTTAAAATGTGTAATTGTTTCTTTTTTCCTTTAGCAAAATTCCTACCAGCCAACAAGCAAAGGGCGGTACAAGGTGTTGTAGAGGAAGCGGCGAGGATAATCCGATCTCACGTTTATCGCTGCACTTTCATCAAAGTGGATGATGAATATTTTAATCTGTGTTTTAATGTTTCATTGATTTAGTTTGTATTTCCCTGACTGTCCAGCTGTTTTTCTTAAGCTCATGTTCCACATTTAACATTAAAACAATACGTTTCTCCAATGATCTGGTTATTTTTAATAGAAAACAAATCAGATTTGTTAACAAATATAATGTTGATGCAAAGATAAAATATTTCTAGTTTTCTGTTTGCTGAGGAAATAAACGCGATGTACTCAGATATGGTTAATTATTTAGCAGCTCATGGTCTTTATATTATTGATGAGGTGGGATCCAGATGTGTCTGTGGCGACTGAGCCGACTCTTTCTGCCGGTTCGCTTTACTGAACAGCTTCCTTTTAATCCTATATCTGTTTAGTGTTGGAGTCATAATTAGATTTTACCCTCTCTGATTGGCTACCATGCAGCTAACTAACCAATGAAGCTAAACCACTCATCTTACTCCGCCCACTCACATTTAGTTGAGAAAAAATTATGGCACAAAATATGTATTTAAATAATTCAGGATGCTTTGAACATGGAGTGAATTCAGACTTAAAAATACAATTATTCATAAAACAAGAAATTTAATATACATTAATTAATGTATGCATATCAATTTTTATTTAAATCACAAATATAACTTGTGGCAGTTTTGGCCTTAGTGAGAAGATAATTCTGCACACCTGGATTTATTTACTTTTTACTATTAATGGCTCAAATTAGCAGAAATAAATGTTTGAGATATATTGACCTGTATGTAATAAATCAACAGTGCTGCAAAAATCATCTTAAATGTTTGATATCAGAAAAATTAGAAAATCTGACATAAAGAACCAGAATTCAGTTTTAAAATGATTCCCAGTGAAATTACTAATTGCTAATGTTACAACTTGTAGCCTACTTCATGTTGTCAGGCTGGTTGTATTTCTTGATTAATTGATTCAGCCACGCATTAATAAAAAAATCTGAATAATAATCACAGCTGAACGTCACCATGGTGATTGTTTACCTTCACAACTGAAATCATTTCAAAACCGTTTTTTAAATGTACTCTTTGTCTGACATTAAAACTTGTGTGGTCAGAAACATCTAAGAGTGAAATACATTTCAGATGTTATTCACATTTATTGAATGTTGGACGAAATTACAAACTTTGTGGAAGCTGAATCGCATTGGTGTGTGTGATGAGCCAAATGATGCGGATCTCTTGTAAAGGAACGGAATTCCCACCGTCACAGCGAGCGGCGTTAGAAAGCATTCCCGCTCAGCTACCGACGTTTTCTCGACAGCATTGTTGAAAATGAAGCAAAACTTTCCGCGTTCGGCCCGCGGCGCCGTGAATCGCTCCAGTTTTCTGCGTCCAAGCGGCTCCTGAAGCGGGAAGCCCGAAGAACCTCGGCCGCTGCTCGGCCGCGGTGCGCATGCTCAGACTGCGTTCTCCGTTCTTATTAATTTTTAATGGAAAATGGCTGCGTTTCTTATCCAAACCGCCGGAGCTCAGGAATAAAGGAACCGTTTCTTCGGCCTCGCCGCCGCTCGCGTCGAACCGGGTCTATGTGTTTGACTTCACACTGAGCCGAACCGAACCGAACCGAGCCGTGAGGTGGAAAAACAGCAGAGGGGGAAATGGAGCGACTCCCGCTTTGAAAGATCATTTTCTCCTTCACCTTCTGCGAACAATCGAGGTACAGTAACTCCAGAGCTTTAGGACGCTCTCCCCTGAATGCTGTCACTTTCCTCGCGATGCTGCCATGTTTTCCGCTGGACCGGGCCAGAACGGGCCAGAACCGGGCTGGAGGCGCCGAGCGGGTTTTGTGTCTGGACGCAAAGATGCGGAATCCATGTGCGCCTATTTCTGAGTGGATGAAAAACAGCGCAGATGGTGAATTTGGTAGAAAACTCTGCGACATTATGGATGAGATTTAATCCCAGTAGATAGTAAATGAAGATATTTAGACAGTAAATGTTAATTAACTTTATGTCTGTTAATTAATCTGCACTTTTCTGAGGTTCTGATGTTGGAGGAAAATTAGGTCACTGTTTTATTTAACAAGGAGATTTTAGGGGGACAACTATGGAGAACTAAAACTGACATAATTAAAAATGAATGCTGAAATGCATATTAAGTTTTTCCTTTTACACGTGTTCAACTAATCATCTGTTAGAAAAAAGTTTTATAATTAACAAGTCGGAGCTGAACTGTAGCTAAATTTTCTTTCCATATATATATATATATATACTTAAACATACCTTTCAAGAAAGAAATGTATAAATTTAAGGAAAAGGTAGAAGGTAACATTCATTTCATTTCTTGACAAAACACTTGTATAAGAAAAAGGAAGGACAAAATATATATACTTCTGCTTTTATTTGTTATTATGTCAGTTTTGGTCTTCCATAGGCCCTTCCACCATTCAAAGAAAATGTAAATTTGAACGCCACATACATTTAAGTTGTTCATTTCAATTAAAATATGCTTTCTTCATCGAAAATTCAAGTTATTTTTCAGATCATCCAAAAACTCTTAAACATTGTTGTGGATGGAGATACTGCAGCAGTAAGTGTTGCAGTGAATCTGAAGAATCCTCTGACTGAAGACTGTTGCTGTCAGACCAATAAACCTTCAATTTTGTAAAGAACATTTCCCACTGAAACAGGATGTTAATTATCCAAAATGAAACACAACCAAAACCATAAGGAAAGTTTGGTAACACTTTATTTGACAGGTTGTGAATAAGACTGTCATAACACCGTCAAACATGTCATAACACCGTCAAACATGTCATAACACCGCCATAAACATGTCATAACACCGCCATAAACATGTCATAACACCGTCAAACATGTCATAACACCGTCAAACATGTCATAACACCGTCAAACATGTCATAACACCGCCATAAACATGTCATAACACCGCCATAAACATGAGTAAGTCTTCATGACTTTTTATGACTGTTGTCATAAAGTGTCATTCAGTAAATCATGTCAGTTTTAATACAAAGTTAACTTAATTCAAAATATATTTGCTGACTACTTGAGATTAACCAAGAAATCACAATCTGACATAAATTTGTTATAAAAATATGACTGATGAAACTTAAAAAATGATGTAACTTTGTTATAAAAGCCAAAGTTTATGTCAGATCGTGATTTCTTGCTTAATGTCAATTTGTCATAACAAAGACATTTTGAAAAAAACCTTTGTATTAAAACTGCCATAATTTACCGAATGACACTTTATGACAACAGTTATAAGAATTTATGAAGACTTACTCATGTTTATGACGTGTTTATGACGGTGTTATGACATGTTTATGACGTGTTTATGACGGTGTTATGACAGTCATATTCACAACCCGTCAAATAAAGTGTTACCGAAAGTTTTGTCTCAAAATATATCAATAATCAGAATAGAAACTATTGATCTCATTTTAATTGAATGTGTGATTGATTGATTTCTAAACAGTTGAGTTGCTGGTTTTAGAGTGTAATGGCTGCTGCCCTAACATTTCAGATTTGTTTTTGCAAGAATTTCTTTCATTGTTTTAATTTGATTACTTTATTCTTTGTGGTTTGTTTTTTCACTAAAATGTAGAGATTTTACCGTCTAAGAACTTAAACCGTTATTTAGTTGGTTGACTAACATGAAAAATATAAAATTAATGTGAGGAAGTTTTTTCATTTTGCTTTTCTGCCAGAAAGTGAGATTATTTCTTTTACGTTAATCTATAAATTTCTCATTACATATTCTGAGTGATTTGAAAGTTTGTTGCAGTTTATTTTAACGTATTGTTTTAGTGGCTTTGTTTCTTTGTTTTTCTCCTAAATGCTCCGTCTGAACAGGTCAAAGTTGTTTTTACACATTTGACCGAACTGGTGGAGCTGTTGGTGGATTCAGGTTATCAAATCATTTCTAATTCAGTTAATTAAAAAAAGCAAACATGAAAACTTTTTTAATATTGTATATCAGTGCAGAAAATCAGATGTTTAATAACAGCTGGATTGTTTTGGGTTCTTTAAATAACAAGATGTCATCAGCATATAGACAACAATTTTCTAGTTTGCAGATTTTGCTGCATGATCAATTTTCCCAGAAGTTGTTCCCATTGACGATAAAATTGTTTTGGGACAATTTTCCAGTCAATAATGTTATTGGCATAATAAGATCAGATTATCAAATATAAGTAAACATTAAATTCGAATGAACATTTAACACTGGAACTGGAAGACATGTTAGGTATCCAAAAATAAATAAAAGTATAGAAACAAAAATTGAAATGAATAATGAAAACTCTGGAAACAAAATTGTCCTTCAAAAAAAGTTAAAAGTAAAACACCAAACTGATGTTTTAAAAATAAAACATCTATTTTTTTAGAAAGAGAAAAACAATCATTCAAATGAAAATTGATTTAGTTTTAGTTTATCATGAATTATTTTCCAGGCCGTCTCACTTTGCATGACTGAAGCCTTGGAGCCTTGAGTTCCTCTGCGTTTCCTCTGCAGTAACGACCCGATACTTGACCCCCAGCAAAGATGATGCGCCAGGTGACCACCAGCGACTTCTGCATGAGCGGCCGGCCGTCCTGCCTGGCGGAGGACGCTCACCACCCCGCCGCTCATTTCGACCTCTGCGCCTCGCAGCCCAGCAAGTTCTACCCGCCTCCGCCGCCGGCCTCCCTGCAGATGACGCTGGCGCCGATGGCCTTACCCGCCCAGAGCCACAAGCCGCTGGGGTGCCACAGACAGGACCTTCTGGGCGCTGACCCGCGCGCACCCGGAAAATTACCTGGCCTGAAAGGCTCGGAGCAAACGCCCGGCGAGGCGAAGAAAAAGACCAAAGGCGGCGGGAAGTCGGGCCGGCGCGGCCGGCCGCTGGGCACCACCAAGCTGGCCGGGTACAGAACCAGCACCGGGCGGCCCCTCGGCACCACAAGGCCGCGGGGTTCAAGACGAGCCCAGGGCGGCCCCTGGGCACCACGCGGGCCCGGGGTACAAGGTCAGCCCCGGGCGGCCCCCCGGCAGCATCAAGGGCCTGTCCCGCCTCAACAAAACTGGCTTACAGCAGCAGCTGCAGCGCAGCGGCGTTCCCCTACCCTCTGCCGCACAAAGACGTCCTCTGTGAACCTTCCTGCAAAGACAAGGCGGCCGCCGAGGACCGGCTCTGCACCGTCTCCACCTCACCCTGACCTGGCCGGGAATGCCGCTGCTTCCTGTTGGGGCTGGCTGCCATTTGGATTTGTGACACTTTTTAGAAAAAATTCTTGTTGTCTTGGTGTCATTTGTGTGTCTGCAGCTTGATAAACCACAGTTTGTTTCTAATGCTAATGCTAACGCTGGAGATCTCCAACAGATTCATGGAACAAGGACAGCAGGAGGTCGTGGCCTCAGAGCAGCAGCTCCACTGAAATATGTAGCATTTTAAAACCATTTAAAATGAAAATTAATTTCTCCATTAGCTGCACTTCAATTACAAATGTGCACAAAAACAAAATTTCACCATTGCGGAGTGTCTATTAAACAGGAAACACTATTAAATAAAATCACACTTGAATAAGTTTTTTCACTCATTAAGTCATTGAAAACCATCTTCCTCCAACCACTTCCTGTCTTCTTCTTCTTGGTCTCTGGCAGTAGGAACTTCCTGTTGTTGATCATATGACTCAGGATGAGAAAAAGAAAATGTGACGTTATTAGAGTTTTGTTCTTGTTCTCATCATGAAAAGGGCAAATATAATCATGTCATCACGTTTCCTTATGTTTATATTCTCTTCCAGACATTTTTAAATGTTAGTAAGACGTCCACATGGAAAATAAAAATTGAGATCATTTTTACAATTGATAAACTTTATGCTCACAAACAACAGCGTCTCTCTCCCAGCCATGATCTGCCTGGATGATCTCAGTTTTTTGTTGCTAAAGTTTTCACTTGATGCTTAAATACTTTTGAAGTTTTGTTTTTAAATCTGTTTATTAATTTTCTGAAATGTATTTATCCTGTAAGCTCATGTGAACGGAGAGTCTAAGCAGAAGAGGAGGAATGCTGCGGTTTGTCCCTGCACCCAAAAATTAATCTGTAAATCATTTTAAACTCCATAACTCAGATAAACTTGGTTTATTTGGACTCTACTGACCAGAACTAGAATATCTTATTGTTATTTGCATGTTTTTGTCTAACGGCTCCATCAGATAACAAATTCGGCTGTTTTCTGCATCAGAGAGTAAAAACATGATTAACCTTAAAGACTGAATTACTTTGAAACGTTTGTTAAAATGTCTAAAGATTCTTTCACTTTTCTGTCTGGGAACTTATTAATTACATATTGGCATTTTAACTTTTACAAGATAAACTGTTTGTTTTGTCAATGTGACACAAACTCCAGTTTTATATGTATTTGTCTTATTTTATTTTGTGTGTTTGTAGTTTCATCATAAGCCTTTACGCTTTTGAAATCAAATTTATGGCAAACTAATGTGTTTATGAAGCCCCATCCAGAAATACGGCCTAGTCCAAGTTTAGTGCAACTTCGTTAAGTTGCTCTTCTTGGAAACCATTTGAAATTGGTAAATTTGGTGCAATAATTTACTGTATGTATTCAAAGCTTTTTACTTTTCTGGTCTTTTAACTTGTGTGCATTTTATTAAATGTTTGGATTATCTGTGAACAAATATAGTGAAAAAGTCAGAAAACGTTTTTGAACTCTTCTTTACCAAAGAACGCAGCGTCTCAAAAGGTTGGATTCAGCATTAAATTGTTTCGTAAGATGTAAATATAAAACAGTCCAACATCAGAAACAGAACAAGGTGAAGTAAAACTTGTTGCATTTGATGCTAAAATGAATATCATCTGCTTTATGTCTGATTTTTCTATTGATCTGTTGTGAAAAATATCCTCAATGTCCAACGGTTTGTCTGTTTGACAGACACATTTAGGTTGAAATCATTTTTATGTCAGGATGGAAACAGGAATGCTAGTTTTGGTCTTTATTGTTAAACATATCAGCTGTCTTTATATTTACATTTTGTCCTTTTGTCTTAATCTTCAGGATAATTTTCTGAAGTCCTTCAGAAATGTCAAACTGAAAGATTTGTCCTGATTTTGTGAAAATGTTTAGAAATGTATCACTGTCCCTGTGAGGCTCATTTAATTCACCAAAACCAGAAACTGTTCACTCCGTCACAGCTAGCTAAGGAAGCTAGCATGAGTTTGGTTTATATTATTAAAAGTCAATATAATTTGTGGTGAAACAAACACAAAAATAATGTACACTTTCTATCTAGATGGTAGGGATTTTAAATCTGTGAAGTTGTATGTGGATAATGAACACAGATTTATGTTTCCTTTTTGTCACCAAACACTAAAAATCCAGTTTATTCATTTAAATCAGATTTTTTTCTTCCAACTGTCATGATAAAGGTATGAGCTAAATTATTCTGACTGTATTATTGTTAGACTTAAATGTTTTCATTTCACAGTGAAGCTAGTTTCTGCTGAACGTCAGATTCACACACCTGTTTCTCAAAACAAAAGAAATGCAAAATAGAAACGGCATTTCTATTTACCAAATAAAAGAGCTCATTTGAGAAAGAATCGTTAATGGTAATTAAACTAAAAATAATCTGTTGAATAATAAAACACTAAATATTTCTCTGCACTGTTTATCTGCTTTGTATTTCTGTGTATATTACCACAATTTCAATTTTCTGAAGATCTTGTTTATCGAAACTGAAATCAGATTTGTATTTTACTTTAACACTTGAATATCTAACCTCCATCAGATTAAAACAACAACTTCATTTCCACTTTCAGAGTTTGATTTTTAACTAAATTGTTAAAGGGGAATTTTAATATTTATACCTTTGTCATAAATATTGGCGGTTTTATATTAACTTTGCCTTTACCAGATTTTCTTAAAATAAGTCCATCCATACTGTAAAACTTACATATTTAATATTCTGGAATATTTTAATGTTTTTTCCAAACAATATTCTTTCTTTTTAAAATAATTTGTAACTTCACATTCTGCTAGTTAGCAGGAGGAGCTAGCATTAGCATGATTTTTTTTAGCGCTAACAATTAAATGTAAATTTTCTGTCTTTACTGTAGCAGAAGGTTTTTTATTAATGTAGAATTACCATTAATAATGCTCCATTAATAAGAGTTATCATGATTTATGTCGTTTTTGTGACAATCTGACTTTTAATCTGTTATTGTGAAATGCTAACAATAAAAGCTAACATTTATTTAGCTTCAAACTATGGAATAAATAATCCCAAGAAGCAGTTCCAGGTTTCTATAAAAACTGATGTATCTGGTAAAAATGAGAATGGAGTGAAAGTTTGGTCCATAAATTGTTTCTTAATTATCTTCTGGGATTTAGATATTTAACTGAAGCTGTTTTTTGTTAAAAAGACAAATGTTGATATGAATTTAGAAAAACTTTACCTCATCAAAGCACATTGTTAATATTATGCCTGAGATCTGCTGTTTGTTTGTAAGGAAAAAAACCTAAACAATTCTTGATTCTTATTATTTTAAGCAAGACATTGCAAACTAAGGATCCAAGTTATGAATAGTTTAATCTGTGTTACTGTTTTGTGTCTCACCGCCTGCAGCTTTATCTCACATTTGTGTTTTGGAGAAAATGTGAAGCCAGTTATTCCTGTGTGATTGGCAAAGCTTGTAAAGCTTTGTACAGATTCCCATACTCTTCCTGCATGATTGTTGTGAAATGTTGAAAAGCTGTGTAATAAATAACCAAAAAAACAAAACAAACTGAGTAATTTTTTTCCTTATTTTTATGATTGTTTTATTTTCCGACTGCAATGTTTGTTGTTCAGCGTCTGAAAATCCTTTATTTTTTTACAGTGTCTGTCAATATAATGACATTTATAGATGTTAACTCCTTTAGTAATATTTAAGTACTATGTAATGATATGATGGATTAACATCAATATCATTTCATCAACTATTAATGTAAAAAGTGAAATATAAAATAGTTTAGACAGCTTTATCCAACATTTACCTGATTTTACGTTCAGCTTTATTGTATATTTAAAACTTCATTCCTTCACAAGGAAACGTCGTATTCTTTTGCATCTAACAGAAAACAACAACTTCCACTATTCCATTTGAGATATTATTCAAGATTTTTCTATAAAGCTTTTATGAAATTTAGCCTTAGAAACAATGGATTTGCTACTTTTATGTTGAGGCTTGATAGAAATAAATGAAATAATTATGAAAGTAATTTAGAAGCAATGAAAGAAGAAAATGCTCTACTGACATAATCTGGAGGCTCCTGTTAGTTTTTATTTCCCCATAAGCAATAGAATATACTTTAGTTTGAATAAAAACATAAAAAAGATGTTGTACACAACAAAATATGCAATATCAGCAAACAGAGAATAATACAGAGGAATGAGGAGAGGGTACATAAATGTTACAGAAATAATAACTGCCAAAATTATCATTATTGACAATATTTAAGAATCTTTCAATCTACAAAGTTAAAATATAAAGTCAAAAAAGTAAACATTTATTTGGAAAGAGAAAGGTAAGATAAAATGTGCCTCTCCTTTAAAAATATGCAAAAATATTGTTTAGAATGTATTATCATTAATTCTTTACGTAAACAAAGGTTGCGTTACGCCGGAAGTTAAACTTAGCGGTGTATCCTTTATATAGTTCCGCCGCAGTGTGAAATATTAGTTCCTAGGAAACAGATGCTGCTCTCATATCTCATCATAATGAGCCCATCATCTGTTCTCTGACAGCCTGGAAATCTTAAAAACTCAAAAATGTGGCGAAAGTATCGGAAACGTTTGATGACGTTTGTTTTGTTGTGTATTTTCCGCGGAGCCGCCATGTTGAGTCTGTCGGCCCGGGCAGCAGGTAGGACGCTAACTGTCGATGCTTGAAGATTAACCGACGATTATGCTAATCACGAAAACATTTATGTTAAGATAGAAGGAATAATTAAAGGTTATGTGTTGCTTATATTTCTGGTAAAGCCAATTTATCGTCTTGTAACGTGACGCCATTTTTCATTAATATCTTAAGCTAATTTAATAAAATGCCTTCATATTTTACCCACTTCATGATCAGATAGTTGTTTACCACACAAAGGCACACAAGACTAAATAAGATAAATACGAGCAGAGGATAATAAATAGTGAAAATGTGCATAGATGTTGGTGTCAGTGTTGGGAAACCAAAGTTCCTGCAGCTTTAAAGCTGTGATGGTTTTCCTGAGAAAACTTCTCTTTGAGATGTTTCTGACTGAACCACATTAGAAATGTTGAGTGACATATCTCCTGTTTTTCTCCAGGACCGGATGAGGCTGCTCAGGTTGTCCTGTCAGAGGAGTTGGAGAATAAACCCAGCTTTGTTGAGTCAGAGGAGTTGGACGCTTTGCCCAGAAGGCAGTTTAAAACGGCTGAAATCGCAGACGCGGTGTTGAGAACTGAAACCCCCATTCATCCGTCTGACATCGAATCGCTGATTCCCAGGAATGCAAAGGACTTCCAGTCGGGCTTCTCTCCCCCCTGTGACGGGAACGGCGATCGGTGCGTCTCGCCTGCGCAGGCCGAAGACCTGGAGCTGCTGGAGGAGCCGGAAGCAGAATCAATGCAGCAGGTTCTTCAGCTGAAATACACGCTGCTGTGAAGTGACTGAACATCACACAGAACCTTTATTTTTATTGTTTCACTTCCAGGTCTCTCTGGAGATGGTCCCTGCAGAACTTCCAGCTGAAGAAGCGAACACCACAGAGACGGCAAAGACGTATAAAGTGAACTGTGACAGGAGGAACATCACAGGATTGGAGAGCTTCACTGTTCAGGTCCTCAACTCCTCACAGGTACCTCTCCCTTCCTCGGTGTGAAATCTGTCAAAATGCAAACACACAAAACATCACCGAGCCACTTTAGTCTAGTTTCTAGTGAAAATACCTCAGCAAGTTTGAAATAATACAAAACTAACTTACAAGTAACTTTTTATTAAAAAACAGGAGCTTGTTTCAAGTCAGTTATTTTTAGTATTGATGAAAAAGTTCGAGTTCGTCTGGCAGATTATTATAACATGGGAAAACATCTTGTTTGAAGTGAAATCATCTGTCTATTAACAAAAACTTTTTCTTTTATCTTGACGAAAACTTACTTGTCACTTAGTTTTGTCTAATTTAAAATACTAAATTCCAATACTAAATTTGCCATTCAGCTCATATATTTTCCAGAGATTGATGTGCTTGTTTTCCGTTCCAGCCAGTAAAACTTCACAGTTTTTGCTGGAACTGAGCAGCAAGTGAGGATTTCCTCCTGTCTTCCAGGACCTGATGGATTTTCTAAACACCAACAGCACAGAGTGCTCTGTGGTTCTGTTCTTCACAGCCTGGTGTCAGTTCTCAGCCAAACTGGCGCCGCACTTCAACGCCCTGCCACGCGTTTTCCCCAGCATGCATTTCCTGGCCCTGGATGCTTCGCAGCACAGCAGGTGGATGTAACCTCTTGAGGCCGCGTCTCCATTTAAAAACATGATTCATTTAGCTTTATTTACTCTGTGGCTTAGTTTCCTTATGATTGTTGAGTTCAGTTTGAATGAACAAAGTTTGAGCCAAACTACAAACTAGACATTTTCTTCACAACAGACGTAATAATGAGCAACTTATTCAGCAGGAATCACTTTGTCTTGCAGACAGTTGAGCTGAAAATATTTGTTTGGAGTATTTTTATCATGTTGTACTTTTTACTTTTACTTAAGTTTAACTTCTGGATTTTCTTCCCACTGTTTTTGGTTTTTTAACCAAAAACTCACCAGACATGCCTTCATTTTTTTATTACTTTCATATTTTCTTTTTTGAAAGAAAATGAATTGGAAAATTTTAGTTTTGCCTAATTTGGTTCATTTTTGCTACTTATATGATTTATTGTCATTTTGGATCTTAAAATAACAAAATTTCCACTTTACATTTTTGTCCGTCTGATGATGTAATTTTTAAATCTTGAACGATTGATAATTTGATCAGTTATTCAGTACTTCAGTCACTTTCTGCCAAATAGTTTTTTGCTCTTTCTTGAGTAATTTCTTGGACGGATACTTTTTACTTTTACTTGAGTAGAAACATGTTGAATTATTAATTATTTTGTACTACAACTTTGTCGCTTAACTTCCAAACACTGACTAATCGGTAATTAATCGATTAGAATTCATTTTAATCTAATAAAACATTAATTGGCAATTAATCATGAGGTTAATGTTGAAATTGATACATTAGTCATAATTACATCGGGAACCATAAGTTGTGTTTCCGGTTCCGTCTCTTGAACGTTTCTCCCGGTTGTGTTTCGCTGCCTCTCCCCCAGGTTTGGGACGGTGGCTGTTCCCAACATCCTGCTGTTTCAGGGGGCCAAACCTATGGCTCGCTTCAACCACACGGACCGCACGCTGCAGATGCTCACGTCCTTCATCAGCAACCAGACAGGTAGAGCCAGCAGGGGGCGCGTGCGTGTGTGTGTGCGTGATCTGTATATGGATGCAGATTTAAGCTGTGAAAAACATCTTTGACCGATGAGCTGATCAATAGGTCGATCAATAGTCGGTCGGCTGCCTCTTGATCGGTTCTGGGTTAAAATAAATCAATGTTTTCTCCTGTTATTAAATGTATAGAAAATTATATTCACTTTATTTTTGGTCCATACATTTTTCTGCTCTGTCGATACTTTTTTCTTACAATTGATGATTGAATTGTTTTGTTCATTGTTTGTTTATTGTTTATAATTCTGTACAGGACTTTTAGCTGCTTTAGAAAAAAATATTGAGTGATGAATAAATCAATAATCATGTTTTTGTCTTTATTTTTTAGTTTGATAAAGCAAAGATAAAAGTCAGAGACGTATGCTTTGATGTATAAATTGGGATTGTCTTTTAATTTCTTCTTTTCCTGTTAAATTTAAACTTATTTGGAACTTCAAAGAAGTTTCTGTTCAATTTCTTCTATGAATAAAGAATATAACTGAGTCAAATTCAGATAAAAAAAACTGGAAATCCCTATCACAGGATCTCTACTTTCAAAATAAGAGTTTATTCTGCAATATTTTACATCTAAAATTTCTGACAGGAGCAATTATGTAATATGAATAAATTTTATTGCTTAAGGTCAATTTCTCAGCAGATGTTGTGAAGTTTAATGTTGATATTCCTGAGGACTTTTCTGACGTGTAAAGAAATAAAATTTAGATAAAAGATTAAAGCAGAATGTTTTGGTTTCAGGGTTTGAAGCGGGCCCCAACAGAGACGTGACAGAGGGAGACCGGATGGGGCCCCTGTCCAGCATCCCGGTGAGAGGCATCGACTGGCTCCTTGTCTTCTCCATCCTCTTCATCACGGCCTTCATCGTCTACGCCATCCTGCGGGCGGACAGCCTGCGCTGGCTCATACCGGGACAGGAGCACGAACACCAGGACTGAAAACACAATAATCACACTGCAAAGTTTTTCATTCAAAAATGTTTTAGATTCAAATAAAATATGTGAAATGTTGTGGTTTATGTTTTAAAACATGGAAATATTTCAAAGCTTTTTGAGTTGGTTTCCTCTCAGTAGAGGGCAATAATCTTAGTTCAAAGTTCAAATCACATAAAGCAAATGTGATGCATGTTAGTCACACCTCAATTTCTTTACAAACAAAAAATAAGTAGAAATGTTTTTACGTGCTTGTCTTCTTATGAATTCAAGAAAGAAACTCCATTTTATAAGTAATTTCATAACAAGTCAAGATTTCAGCAACAAAACTGATCAGAAATGAACTTACTATGCTTTTGTTTTCTGGTCTGGATAAATTATGATATATATGTATATATAGGTATTTTTAACCTCCCTTACATCCTTCTCATTTCCTAGCAGTTTTGTTGCTGAAATGGATTACTAATACATATAGAAAATTAAATACACTTTATTGATCCCCTAGAAAATTGCTTATTTTTTGAGAAGCTACTCCCATCCACAATGTTATTGGTAAATATAAATATACCATTAGTAATATAACAACACGAATGTGAAATAAGTAATTTAAATATGAATAAATAAAGTAAATTAATTGACCTGTGAGAATGAATGTTCTGAAATTTTATCTGAATGTTCAGATGTAAAAGTAAAACAAAAAGTAAATGAAATATTTCTATTACCATAAACAAATGATTTTAATAACTACGCGTATACATTTCCTTTTTTATTATTATTTTTACTAGTTTTTGTGTAGGCTGACTCCTTTCGGGTGATTTTGATCAGGCAGTGAGGTGAACAGCTATGTTGAACATGAGTCAGGACCTCGGAGGACGCGCGTCTGCGCAGAACAGGCTGTAAAAGGTAAATAAAGAAAACACATGTTTGCGTTCGCGTCCATCCTGAGGACGCAGCTTTCGGTCCTGCAGCCGCCCGAGGAAACCTCCGCTCCACAGAATCGACTCTAAAATGGTGAGCGCGACAGCCGCGGTTTCCTGTTAGCATTGCTGCTAACTAGCTGCTGTGAGAGAGCAGCGGGGCGCCGGTTTGTTTCCCCACCTTCGGCGTTTCTTGGCGGGGAAAGTTTGGAGAACCAGCGGCGCAAGTCGCGTTTGGTTTGTCATGACGAAAAAACATCTTAGGAACTACTCTAAATTCATTTTATTGTTTTCTTTTGTAATGTTAGTGTAACATTTATTTAAAATCTCTCCGGGTTTCTGTTAATTTTATGATAAAGTTTGAGAATAAGGAACTAAATACACAATTTAAGAAACTTAGAGCGCGATGAAAAATACATTTAAAATCAAAATATCAGGAGTTCATCACAATAAAATACAGAGAAACATGCATGACAAAGTAAAAGCACTGAAACTGAAATAGTAGCTAAGATTTTATTAGGAAACGTGACCAGCAGCTTTGACAGGTGCATATTTACAGGGAAACGCCGCCACCTGGTGGAGAACAAACAAACTGCAGTCAGGTGTCCACAAAATAAAACTCCATCGTTTAGACTGGCGTTATCTAATATCTAATAACATCTCATGATGCAGCAGCTTCCAGTCTAACAAAGGACACTCACTTGATCATAAATCACTTGCCTTAATTAATTTAAATATTACATTATCTTCTGTATCCAGAGATGCGCACATACTGTAGAAAACTATGATAGCTTTCTCTTTTAATGAAGAAATCAGATTAGGAGTAGAGATATTTTTATAAGCTTATTGGTGAGCCTGCCTCTTTTTATTGAACTGAATATAATTTCGGATTTTTGTCTAACTTCAGGTTAACTTGGAAAGTGAGCTATTATTGTTACGAGTTAATTTTCTAAACTATAGAAAAGTTTGTGTGTTAGGGAGGCAAATATGAAAAATTGGACTTGATGACTAAAATATTCATTTATAGCAGCCTTACAAAAAATCTGAAAAAGAAATATTTAGATAAGTATTTTTAAATGAGTCCTGTTAATTTTTCCCTTTATTGAAGTAATTTAACCAAAAAAAATATGTCATGTTTTATTTACAGAATAAAGAATAACTTAAAAGTAGGTAGTCTCTCATAACAAAAAATATCGCAAATGATACAGATATTTTGTGCAAACATTTCCTCATCACAAAAGCATAAACAATATATCTTTGCATGACCAAAATGTCTAAAAATGACTTTTTTTTGGAAAAGCACTGTGAACTGCAGAGGAAATCCCAAAATGAGCAGAAATGAGCAGAGTTACCCTGACAGTCGCCACTAGGCTTTTGCTGCTCTGCAGTTATAATTCTGAAGGAAACCACTAAACTGAACCTGAACTTGGTGGTTAAAATGTTTGATTTTAATAATTATACTGGCTTGCTGTGTCCAGTCGTCAGACTCTCATTGGCTGAGCCCGGCTGACCGGGATCAGTGGATGGAGGCGGGCGACGGGCTGGATGGAGGTGGAGGACCGCGACGCCATCTTCAAGGAGCTGCACTTTAAAACGTTTAATCAGGTCTGTGGCTTTATGCTGGTTTTCATATTGCCTCTTCTGAGGAATGCTTTTATTTGAATTTTTTCCTAAAATGTTGAGTCAAAAATCTGACATTTTTCTTATCAGTTAATGCACCATCACAGCGACACTGAGTACAGAAGCCAAATGTATCAACTGTGAGGATTGCTTTTAATAAGGTTTATTTTATTTGGTTGGAAAAATGCATTCATTAGCCAAAATGCATTTTCATCTGTTGTTCTTAATGATCCCAAATTTGTCCTGCTAAAAACAAATAAAGGCTATGAAATAACTAGTAGTTTTGTCAATAAAAAACTACAATCAAAACAAGAAACTAACACAGTTGTCATAGTGAGCGTAATTATTAAAATTATTCTTATCAAAGGTTAAAAAAGTAAAAACAAACAAAAACAGTGGTGGTTTTACTTAAGCTTGTTGTCATTTTGCTCGTTAGCTGTTTTTTAAAAATATTTTTGCACTTTTGGTCTCTCCGTATATGAATTTGTGGATTCATTTGAGCTGCAGAGAGATTTCTGTCAGCAGAAAACATAAAGGCTGAAGATTATATCGCAGAGTTTTGATCTGTTTCCACCTTTCTGCATCAATAATTAGTCAAATTAGTCGTGATTAATCGGTAATTTAAGTAATCGTCAACTGATTTTGAAATCGATTAATTAATGGAGTATACAGACTAAGAAAAGGACCATCAGCTTGAACAACACACTCAGCCAAAATTATGTCACAACTACAAAAAAAATATACATTTAGCATTTAAGATAAAAATGTTTTCTGTAATTTGTAGAGTTTTGGGTAGAACAGATTTACACACGATTTTGTAACTTTAAATGTAAAATGTGAATAATTTTTGGACAGTTTTGTCTTTATCTCCTTTGAGTGTTCTGTTCTTTCAACAAATGTTTTTTTTATCTGAAACGCCAGTTAATTAATTAATTACTAAATTAATCGATTATTTCAATAATTGATGAATCGTTTCAGCCGAACTTTGACCCATAAAACATTTATATTTGGAGTCCTACTGCGTGCCTCTTGCAGTAAAATAAACAAAGTCTAACATAACTTTCATGTTTTCTTTTTAATCAGCCTACCGTTTAAAACCGTTTTTTCCTTCATCTCAGGGCCACTTAGTGGACTTCCTCTAATCCGCTGTTAGCTGCTTCAGCCACTAACGCCGCCCTGTTTTTACACTTCCTGCCGTTTGAAGTCGGCCGCGCGTACGGCCTCCTCCCCCTCCGGATCCTCTTACTCGACACGTCAGGCCGCATTAGGCGGAGACTCGCCAGGCGGCCAGTTGGCAGCAATTTGGGTTTGATCAGAATGATTTCTTTCACAAACAATGAAATTAGTTAAAATGTCTCATCTGGTTTGCAAACCACTAACAGCCAGTCAGCCTGCAGTGGATGTCCCTCTCCTCTCCCTATCGCTGCCTGTTCTCGTCTCTTGTTTCCTTCTGGAAGATGAGCTCATGTTGTTACAATTTTGGTTGTTGGCGTCTCTCTGTTTTGTCTTGTGGGCCGTGTTTCAGCCCGGGGTGTTTTCACTCTCATGGCTGCACTTTAAGGGCTTTTAAAATGACGAGGAGCGACATGCTGGCTGATTTCCATTTGCCACTTATCGAAAGACATCGAGTCCAAGAAATCAGATCCCACAAGAGTTTATGATGGAAATAACAAACCCCATTTTTGGCTTTGAAGCGCCTCCTTCTGTGATCACCAGGGGGCGCCAGAGCTGCAGTTAAAAAAGCAAAAAAACGACACCTGCTGAAATTACTGCGATTATTGCAAATGGAAAGTGTCATAATGTTTGTTGGTGGCAGTGAATTTGAGAAGGATTTTTTCTTCCGTATTTTTCTTACATCAAATTCCAGTTTAACCAGGTTTGGGTGGTGAGGAGAATCCCTGGAACCACATGTGATTCTGCTCAGATGCATTCATGTTTTTCTGTTTTTGTTGTTTTAAGTTGCAGCCGCTGCTGCTGTTTACACACAAAGTTTGAAGATTGGCCATCTGCTCTACGTTTCTGTGAATAAAGCAAAAACAATCATGAAACGACGGAGGTGAGCTGTGCATGCTCAACGTTAGCTGAGGTTGACAACAATGGCATTCTACATAAACTCTCCTGCAGCTGCTGAAGCTGCTGCTGAAGCTGCTGCTGCTGAAGCTGCTGCTGCTGAAGCTGCTGCTGAAGCTGCTGCTGCTGAAGCTGCTGCTGCTGCTGCTGCTGCTGCTGAAGCTGCTGCTGCTGAAGCTGCTGCTGCTGCTGAAGCTGCTGCTGAAGCTGCTGCTGCTGAAGCTGCTGAAGCTGCTGAAGCTGCTGCTGCTGCTGAAGCTGCTGCTGAAGCTGCTGCTGCTGAAGCTGCTGCTGCTGAAGCTGCTGCTGAAGCTGCTGCTGCTGAAGCTGCTGCTGCTGAAGCTGCTGCTGAAGCTGCTGCTGCTGAAGCTGCTGCTGCTGAAGCTGCTGCTGCTGCTGAAGCTGCCTCTTCCTTTTCCTCCTCCTGCAGCCTCCGTCTCGTTCGGCTGCTGAATCCGTTCTGATCGCTGA